AATACCCCAGTATCCCAGATGTTCTTTTCGATGACTTGAGCAGCCGTTTGCAGTTTAGCGTTCAAGGCCCAGCCAATTAGGTTTAAAGTTTCAAAACTTGCTAAATGCTAGCCAATCGTGCGATTTATGTGTGATTTAAAACCCCGCGCCTTGCTGTAACCTCTAGAAAAATCCCTGGTGTTTTAGAGTCGAGACTCTCAGTCTTGACCCGCTGCGTCGGTGACAGTTGAGAGTCCCTGCTCGAGCTTGAATAAACGACCCTCATGTGCTTGCATCGGAAACGGCTTCCTGGTGGTCTTTGGGACTTCGCAATCTGGGCACAACAGCCACAATATGTGTGTTTGGCTACTCGTTTTTGTCTGTTTTCAGTTCTTATGGGTGTACACTGGGGAATAGAATTTCAGGATCCTGTGGAAATTCCGGGTGTCGTCCCCTGAGGAACCGCCAACTGCTTCACAGCAGCTGAGCTGTACCACATTCATACGAGCCAAGCACAAGCTCTGGTTTCCTCAGTCTTTCCCAAAATTTGTTATATTTTAGGGTTTCAAAAAATATTAGTATTATAGCCATCCTACTGGGTGTGAAGTGGTACTTTGTTGTGGTTTTGATCACTAATGATGTTGAGAATTTTTTCTTGTGTTGTTCCCTATTGTGTATCTTCTTTGGAGAAATGTGAGTTCAAGTCTTTTGTCCATTTTTTTTAAAGGGCTTGTCTTCTTGTTATGATTTCCTTACTTTTGACAGAAAAGCAGCTAACTGAATGTTGTCCTTTTACATAGAATGTTTTCAAAAGCAAAATCTAGAGGACTCAACAAAAAATAACCAAAATAATAAATTTTTTAATAAAATTATTTAAGTGGTTTTAAATTAAATTTTTAAAAAATGTTTGGTGGTACAGAATTGTTCTAGCAATTAGTCTACCTATTAATTATTAATTAGTCTACCTATTAATTTGTTTAATTCTAATGAGATACTATAAGGTAGGTGTTTTTAGTATCTCTACCTCACAAATAAGTAATGTGAGGCATAGAGAAGTCCAAATTCATAGAGCTGGTAAGTGGCAAAGTTGGAATTTGAACCTGGGAAATATGATTCTACAATTTCATCTCTGAATGACTCAGTAAATAAGAAAAGCTTTATTTTCTCACATAGGAGTAAGTCCAGAGGGAGAAAGTAGTAGCACTGATTGGTTTAGCAGCTGAATACAATGTAGAACTCAGGATTTTTCCATCTTCCTAGTTCACCACTATCAACATATTGCCTTTGCCTCAGGCTTTTCCCCTCATGGTGGCAAAATGTCTGCAACAGCTCCAAACTTCACACATATTCTCTCCTAACAACATTCAAATGACAGAACCAGAAAACCTCTTTGACTTTTTTTGAAGAGTGAGTGAAACTTTCCAAAGACTTCCCTTTGACTAGAATTGTGTCACATACCCCATATTAAATCAGTCAAGGAAATCAGAGTTACCATTTTGGACACAGACTCCTAAGGATTTGCACCAAGACTTCAGTAGGACCCAGCCTCCTAGAATTACCTGCTGCTTAGTTTTCTGCTAAGAAGTAAAGAGGACCAGGGCTGGGGATTTAGCTCAGTGGTTTTGCCGCCTGCTGCGCAAGCACAAGGACCCGAGTTTGATCCCCGGTACCAAAAAAAAAAAAGAAAAGAAGTAAAGAGGACTGGTGACCAACAGCTTCAGCCATATTGTCATTAGTTCTGTGAGGCTCAGGGTCAGTGACTTCTCTGTGGGTGGTGACTTCCTCATCCATGACTTCTCCTAGCTCTTTCTCTCTCTCTCTCTCTCCCCCCCTCCCTCTCTCCCTTCTCTCCCTCCTTCTAGCCTGCTAATGGAATATCTGTGTGAGGATTTGAATTCTGCTGCAGGATTGTTTTCAAAGCCCTGCCTGTCACCATCACCTGCAGGACACAGAGGCAACTAACTCCTTGTCAGACCACCTTTGCGTATTCACACGACAGTAACTGCAGACTTAAACACTAAGCCCTGACGCTCATGATATCCTAGCTATGCTATAAAAATTCCCCAGAGTGGCACTTAATTTCACTTGCTTACCGTATCTGAAATCCCCAAACAAAGGCTGATTTACCTTCTGGCTGAAACTAAAGCCGAGCGAAGCTCTTGACTTTAGGAGCACCAGTGTCCTCGGCAGCACGTGGTAGCACAGATTGAGCTTAGCTCTCTCTCTCTGATATTTTTAAATGTCTTTGAACTATTCTGGCTAAAGAGAAATGGACAAAGCTTTCTTCCACATTTCCAGTGGTCACAGGAGACCTCTAAATGGCCAAAGGGAAGTAGCTGGGATGAAGCATTCGATTCCATTTCATGTGACAGAAACACTGCCCCAGACGGTGGGAATCTACCTTTTCTGTGTATGTTTCTTTTTTCTTTTTCTTTTTGGTCCCGGGGATTGAACTCGGGTCCTTGCGCTTGCACAGCAGGCAGCAAAACCACTGAGCTAAATCCCCGGGCCTTCTGTACATTTTTCTGAACATTGCTCCTAAGCCAATTTTAGTGTATCTCTAATAATGAAAACAAAACAAAAACTGACGAACTTTAACAAAAGGAAGATGAACAACAATCACTTCAGGTTTTAAGCAAGTATCTATGAACATCGCATGATGATGCTCTGCAGTTACTGGGGGCAAAGCTCATCCTTCCCCATGTGTGGGAGAATTTATCTGAGGTGGCTGTGATTTAACCTAAGCAAGCTCCAGGCAAAAGCTGTGTGGTAGTAAGCGTCTCATCCAAGTACAGGTGTAAGTTTCCCATCGTAGAAAGGATTTATTATAGAGAGGGCAAATGGCTCTCTGCCCAGGATTTCTGCATTTGTAGAGGTTGAACTTAGAAAACTTATTTAAGGGTTCTTCAAAAAAATTCTAAGTCAGGAAAAATAATACTTACATTAATATGGTGTTTTACAAATCACAAAACCCTTAGATAAGTTTTATTTCATCTGACCTTGTGGATGTCAGGGGTCAGGTGTTACCCCTTAACAATATGTAAGAAGAATCTCTCAGACCAGCTTCAGTCACTCAAGGATTAAGCTTCAAAACCACCCTGTGAGGTAGGTAGGTTTATTATTTCTGCTTTATCACAAAAGAAATTGAGGTTCAGGTAGAGGTTAACTGACTTAGGCAGGGTCACACAATTAGGAAGTGGAAGGTCTTAGGAGCTCTGGGTCTGAGATATCCTCACAGTCAGGACAGCAGATACAGTGTGGGCCTGTCTGCATGCCTGAGGCATAGTTATCCACCACCTACACAGTCAGCCTCAGAAAATGGCTGCTCTCATCTCTCCCTTTCTCCTAAGCCCCAACGTTGTTCCTTGGCAAAGGTGTCAGGGCCCTTTATGAACTCTTCTTCAGTTCCTGGAAATCAGAACTGTCCTGTCTTCTCAAAAGTGAAGTTTGTGAGCCTCTAGTTTATACTTAGTTACCATTTCAACACATTCCTTACTGTTTCCACTTTTAAAAGACCACAGACAGAGCCACCCCAAAGAAAGGTCTGTCAGCTGGGCCCTGAGGCCCTCAGCCTCAGCATGGGAGGAGGAGCACGCTCCATGGGGTCTTTCCAGTCTTGCCAGGCTGGCTGCTCCACCCAGTCCAAATTGTGTGAAAGCACAAAGGAAAAAGCCACCACTTGTGGGGAAAGAATGCTAGTGGGGGGAACAGGATGTCCCGTTTCAAATCCCCCACGGCCTTCGCCTCAGCACAGCTAGGAGGACAATCCCCTTGTGTAAAGGCCTGGGAACGGAGCTTTCTTCCTATCAGATCCTGCCCTATTCTGGTAATTGAATGGGAAAGGAGTCCACCCAGAAGTCTGGGCTGGCCCTGGAAAGGAAGGTAAGTGTAAGAAAGAGAAAGTCATTGCCAATTTTAGGGACCATATGTTCAGAGGAATAAACAGGAATACAGTGGCAGAGTGGGAAAAATGGGCGTATCACCCCACGTTAAATGGGTAATAGCCAGAAGTGTGCTTTGTGTCTTTTTGCATCAGAGTCAGCCAGAGGGATATGTGAGGGAGAATTATGCATACATATATTGCTTAAAATATACTATCTCCACGTCTGTGAAAACTATTAGTCTTGCTACTCCTAATGCAACTGGAGGTAGTTACATTTTCATTGGATCAGGAAGAATTTTCTCTCCCTGCCTACTCCTGACCACACAGGGTGAGCACTGAGCGTATTGGTGATGTTTCTCACTAGGCCAGGATTTCACAGCTTGGAAATGTGAAGTCAGAGCTCTCAGCCAGTTCCTGATTTCCTGTCCAGTGCCCTTTCAGGCATCTGGATAAGACACAGGCATTAGGAGGAGGTGGGCACCCTACTGGACAGCAGGTTACTATGCTGATACTAATTTTCATTACTATTTTTTCCCCAGGGGCTGTTTCCCACTCACCACCACACTGGTAAGTACCTGCTGTCTTACAGGAGAGAAACTAAGGCATAGGAATAGAGACAAATGTTTTCTGTCCCCCACACCAAAGCTCTGAGATGCAAGAACTTAAAACTTTGAGGCCTAAAGGAAAGAAAGCATTAAGTTTAAACCAGAAACAACAGACTTGGAAGAGTAAGTAAGGTTGCAAGGGCTGGTTCTTCCAGCCCAGAGAGATGCAGGCACAGTGAGAGTCTGAAGGCTGTGCCTTTCTCCCACCACACACATTGCCCAGCACCACAAGGAGTTTGGGACTCACCGAGATGGCTACAGCCTTGGGGAGGCCTTGCCAATGGGGGAAAGATAGAGAGGAGACCTTCATGGACCAAACATAGAGCACAGAGAACAGCAAAGAGATCTTAGAAATATCTGACTGTGGAACCAGGTGACTCCAGGAAATATGACATTTCTTTGTCTACTTCACCACATGAACCCCTGGAACTGAGACCCAAACCCTGGGAGTGATGGAACTGAATTACCTTTTGACCCATATACAGTTATTATTATTGTTGTTTAGAAGTGACTAAATATCCAGGCATGGTATGGCACACCTATAATCCCAGTACTCTGGGAGCCTGAGGCAGGAGGATTACAAATGCTACACATTCTATCCCAGTCTGGGCAATTTAGCAATTTGGTGAGCCTCTGTTTCAAAATAAAGGGAGGGAGATGTAGCTCCGTGCAAAGGCCCTGAATTCAATCCCTAGTACTGCAAAAACAAAAAAGGGGAGTCAATAGCAGCAATTCCATATTATTCAGTGCAATATCAGAAAATCCTCCACTCCCTATGATCAAATTTCTGTCATCCCACACAAGAAGGATTTGAAATGGAAGTCAAATTCAGTCTTAGTAACAGACAGTTGGGCTTCCCTCCCACCTGCTTGGGGACTGCATGCTGGGCCCACTGCTCTGAATGGCCATGACACTGCCTGACTCCATCAGCTCTTCAAATGCCTGATGGTTCTGATCTCCTTCACCAAGAGAAGCCTGGCACGTCTCCACAACATTTGGCTTTCATTAGAACGGCCTCTCCTCTATACCCTGTCATTTAAGACTTACACCCTGCCTGTTCTGATCAGCTTTCCATTACTGTAATAAAATAACTAAAACAATCAACTTAAAAAGAAAAAGCATTTATCTTGGCTCACGGTTTGGGAGGTTCCAGTTCCTGGTGGATCAGCCTATTGGTTTTGAGCCTAGGATGAGGCAAGATATCATGGCAGGGAGCATGTGGTAGAGCAAGCTGCTCACCTCATGGTGTTCGGAGAGCGAAGAGGCATCCCCCAACCCGCCTGAGAGTACACCCCCAGTGACCTAAAAGCTCCCAGTAGGCCTCACCTTCTAAAGGTTTCTACCACCTCCCAGTAGTGCCACCTGGAGAGTAAGCCTGTATTAACACACAGGCCTTTGGGAACAAGCAAGGCCCAAACTATGGCACTGTCAGCTTTTGGATGGAGCTTGGGTGGAAGTGGAGAAACTTGCTCTCTCCTTGTAATTCAGTCCAGCTGAAAGTACCTACCCGGGTCTTGTGCCCAGGAACATACACATAGGTAACTTTAGAATGCATGCCAGAGTTTACAAGTCATCATCTTGACTGTTTTGCTTTAGGCTTCTCATGGAGTTTGGAAAACAGAATGGGAAGCTTGACTCCCACTGGCTGAGAGCTGGTAGCAAGGAAATTGCTGGTAAATGCATCATACCCATTCCTTCTGCCATGACACCAGGGCTGCTACATAATGACAGGAGCCTGGGGCCAGCAGAGTAAGCAACTGCCAAAGAGATTAGGAGCATTGCTTCTCAGGTAGAGCCACAGAACAAAGACAGCACTGTAGGCCCATGGTCCCCAAAATTGTGTGCCAGGTCACCTGGAGTTACTTCAGTGAATTTAGAGGAGCACAGTAAAAGTTGTAGTTCAGACGTTTGAGTGAAAACTCATCAACTCTTTTAGATACCGTGCAAAACTACTAGCTCAAAGTAGTCCACAGTTTTAACATTACATGACATCATGTCTTTCTGAACTTGTGTTCCAGGTTGTTATTATGATAAAAGTGTACATTGTGAAAAATCAGTGTGGAACAGGGAACTACCACGACAATATCCTATCTGAGCCTAAGGATTGAGTTGCACAGTTGGACAGTGGCCAACAGGCACACATGTCCAATTGTTAGGAAATTGTGATTATTTGACGATGAAGTAAAAATATAATTTATTCTTGTTCATTTTTTCAAATATTACTAAGTTGTTAGGACATAATTATTAAACTGTTTGGACCTGATCCATTAGTAAACAAATCTTCTGAGTATGCCTTTTGATCTGTACATGTCATGAAAAAAATTACAGACATACTAAAGGAGCTGGGAAGGAGAAAATCTAGTCTTACAGCAGAGCAGCAATGTCAAGGTGAAATGAACTTGAGTCCCTGGATCAACCTCCCTGAGCTGCCCAGGACCACTGGATGTTAGGAGAGAGTGGAACAAACTTTTGCTCTGTTTGAGCCATTGTACTAACCAATACTTCAAGGCTCAGTAAGTATTTTTTGACACACAGGTTGTCATTGATTTCTTCCATTGTTATAGATTTTGGATACAGCAAGGGAGGAGTCATGAGGAAATTTAAAACAGCAACAGAGACATGGGAATTATAAGGAAAAGAACACAGAACACTACTAGCACATGCTGGTGTCTGACCCGCGTAAATCATCTATCAAATGGGAACATTTCCATCTTGTGTACCGTATGGTGATAGAAATTTGGTAAGATAAAACCATGAAAATATTTAGAGAAGTATTACACAAATATAAGTAGTCTTTGTTATTGAAACATTTATGAAGATACTAACGCCTCAGAGGATTTTCTGAAAAGGGCTTGTTTGTAGTGTTGCTGATGTAAGGTGTTCAAGAAGAAGAAAATTAGAGTGATTTTAAAAACAAGAGTAGTTATTCCTGTCTTAATCTAGAATTCCTGACTTGAAAGTTTAAGATGTATCTAGAAAAAGTCTGTGTTCACTTAAAATGTAGATATGTTTCATAATTGACATATTGTGCCTTTTTTATATTCATCTGTGTGTGGCTGCAGAAATTATAAAGAAAAGTTCCTTTTCCCAAAAGAGAACTCCTCTATGGAAAAAATGTTTAAAGTCACAATTGTGTTTTGAGAATGTTTCTCCCACATTATGAAAACATCATACAATTCAACCTGGCAGTATTCTTTATCCTGACACTAATAGTTCTGTATAAAAACATCATCCATCTCCAGAGAAAAGGCATACAGAGAATGTTTCTTTCATAAATATACTTAATGTTCAATTTAAAGTGTATCTGCCATGCAAAAGGAAGGAATAGATTTTTCCTTGAAGTTTATCATATAAAACATTAAGAACTTGGGCCTTTGGATATTGACTTTCTCGATCTTCAAGGCAAATCCATAGGAAGTGGATGTAAGTCCAATGGCTATATTTGGCTATAATATTAACTTTCGAGACTAATTACCTAATCATGAATGCTGTTCTGCCTTTATGTGCACAGAAATATTTAATTTCCCATCTTGATTTTTGACTCATGTTTTTCTGCCCCAACCACCTAATCAATCACTTAATCAATGTTGTCCAGTTATCCCCAACTTCTTGCTACCATCTTGGTCCAGAGACGGACCAAGGCTTACATCATCTCCCACCCATGCTAACACAACACTCTTATATCCATTACTTCCATTCTCACTCCTGATCTCTGTTCTCCGATCCATTTTCAGTAGTTACAGAAATCTATTAAAAGCCTAACCTGGTCACTTTATCTTCTGCCTAAAATCATTCAGTGTCTTGCCATTTCTCTTAGGATGAAAACCAACCATTAACAGACTAAGACCAGTATTATTACTTTATTTTTAGCATAAAAAACACTATCCTGAAAGGTGAAAAGGCCTTATGGTTCATTATTTCAACAAATTCATCAGGGTTGGATTTTGAAACATTTTTCAATAGCACCATCTTTCAATAACTATCAGTATTTGGTCAAATTTCATAGTATTTCTGGGCAAAAAAATTGAAATAGTAATGTAACAAAAACATTGGTTTGATGGAAAGATATTGAAATTAGGCAAAAATATATGTTGGCAAAAACTTGAATCAAAAAAGAATGAAGAAAACCACTGACCACACCCACCCAGCAGGCCCTGGTCAGTGCCCACATTCACACTGGAATACATGAACCTAAAAGTTGAAAAATTTGTAGGTCACTTTTTAAAAAAATTCTTTTATTGGTACATTTTAGGTATACAATACATTTACATTTATCATTGGGTGCTTTACCTGTACATGATGTATCTTGGTTCTTATTTTTTCCTCATTACCTGTGCACCCTTCACCCCCTCCACCCTTCCCTATTTACATAGATTTTGTTTCCATTTTTTTTTCTTTTCTCATAATTTTTCCTTTCCCTTCTTCCCTTTCCCCTTCCCCTCCCACCACCCCTACCCCTTTGGACCTTTTCCTATTTCAAATTATCAATTATTCATTTTAATCATTTCAATCCTTATTTACACTTTCAGTTTCTCATACTAGAGAAACTATTTGGTATTTACACATGTGAGTCCTATTTATTTCACTTAAGAGTATGGCCTCAATGTGCATCCATTTAGCTATAAATGTCTCTAGCTTGTCATTCTTTATGGATGAGTATTTTATTTTTAAAAACTCCATCTTCTTTATCCAGTTTCCAGGCACTTGGGCTGTTTCCAAGCTTTAGCTATCACAAACTGTGCCACTATAAACATGGGTGTGCATATATCGCTGTTGTATGATTCTTTTTTTTTATTAAATTCTTTTATTGGTACATTTTAGGTATACAACACAATTACATTTCTCATTGGGAATTGTACCTTTACATAATGCATCTTGGTTCATTCCTAGCCCTCCCTTCATGCCCTCC